CAGGAGCCCTCCCTGGGCTTAACGGGGAAACAGGAGCCCTCCCTGGGCTATACTCGGGAACAGGAGCCCTTCCTGGGCTGAACTGGGGATCAGGGTAGCGCTTACGTGGTGCTGGCACTGGAGGGTGCTCTGGAGGAGCAGGCACAGCAAAGCGCTTTCAAAGGAGCTGGCACTGGAGTGAGTTTTGGGACTGCAGCAGACACTGGAGCGAGCTCTGGGGCTGGAGCCGACACTGGGGCCTCATGAACACATGGCGGTCTTGCCATATTAATGTTCGTTGGGCTTGCCATATTAACGGCCGGTGAACTAGAGTAGGCCATGGACGGCGGGCTGGTTCTGGCTCAGGGCAGGACGCTCTCCAGACACCGGAGGATTCCTTCCCTCCAGCTCAGTCCCGTGGTGTCTGGGAGGTCCACGGGGCGATGGTAGTTGGCCCCGAGCCAGAACAAAGAATTAATGGTGGCGTCATCAAGGGCCGTAGCCACACCGAGCCTGCAGAACTCCCAGGAATACTCGACAAAGGGGAGATCTAGGCGAGATAAGGCGGAGAACCGAGCGGCAATTTCCATAGCCGCGGGGAAAACGAGGAAAACAAAAAAAAATTCTCAAAGGGTGCTCACTCTTTGTTTGGGCCTGGAATTCTGTCACCGGTTGCTACTGTGAGGAGCATGGAGCGAGGAACGAGGAGACCAGGAGTACAAAACAGAGGAGTTTAATTCTTTTTTTCAGGGAATCACACGTAGCACAAGGAGTTGACAAACAATTCCAGACCAAGAAACTCCAAACAGGCTAGAACTAAATAGGGCAGATAACGAGGGGCAGACAGGTGAGGAGGATAACTAATAATGAGATACACCTGGAACAAATCAAACTACATTGGGACAGGAACAGGAAGGACCAAATAAGGAAAACAGGAACTCAACGGGAACATACACGTGACACTCAATTACTCACCCTCACATCATTCCAAACCTGAATGCCTTGTTCTTCCATGGAACACAAAAGAAAAATGAAAGAAACAGCTCTTACCTATATAATGAAAGTGAATGGGGACTTGAGCTGTCAAGCACAAAAAAGCACAAAAATGTATCATAAAAGTAGTCCATGTAACCAATGCACTTTATGCCACATCTTAAGAAGTCATAGTCATAGAAACAGATCTGAAATGTAAGTTATTTTTTATTATTTTGGGTTTGAAAGTCCCCCCCCCCACTAATTTTTATTATATGAATAAGAGCAGCCATGACATTCTTTAACTTTCTCCTTCTGTGCTCTACAGAAGTCTTACAGGTTTAAAATGACATGAAAGTGAATAAATGTTCAGTTCATCTAAAAGTAAATAATAGATGACCCAAAGTCCTCAATCACTCACCCTCACGTCATTCCAAACCTGAATACCTTGTCCTTTAGTTTTTGGGTCAACTGCCCCTTGAATGCTTCACCGGAAAGATACTGTATTATGGGGACCCAGGAATCACACAAACAGGCAAAAACAGGAACTTGGACACACTGTAACTCACTTTAGATAAAAGCATCTGCCAAATGCATTAGGCACCAAGAGAATTAAGTCTCTAACCAAGTTAATTTAATCTACTCAGTGGAGAATGTCTAACACCTGCTTGTTTTTTTTTCCTGTGACACCGAAGCAAAAGGTTAATACATTTGTCTTCCTCTCTCAAAGGTGACCTCTAAATGTTCTCCATATTACAGACAAGACTTTGGTCACCTATGACAAAAATAGAGCAGGAGATCCAGACTAAACTGGATCTAGTTACACTTGGTCAGACAGTTTTGCTATTAGGTCTTTTTGACGGAAAACACCTGTGGGCAATATCCATGTGCTGGTTTAAGTGCTGTTGAAACACTTTGGCTGTGAAAGTGTTACATTGGATGGATTTTTGGATAAAAAAAAAACTGTTATAAAGGTAGGAATATTAAGAAATATCCTATCCCTCCACCCTCTTTATTTGTTCACATGACATTTTCCTTTGATCACGTAATGTGCATTTCTGTGTATGCATCTAATTTCTGATAAATTTCTGCAATTAAAAGAGATTTTCCTTAGAAACCCTTTGAGCAAAGCATGATTATATTAAAATCAATTGATATATAACTAAATTTTGTGCATTACTGACAGAAACTATCACTATTAAGGGGCTCTCAAACAGGCAGTACTTCAGCTGACAAATATATAATATTGAATTAACATAATTTAAATCTAAAATTAAAAAAGCTAAAGTTCAACAAAATTGACCCTCTGAAGTTCAAAGGTATAAAGTAAAAATTCAAATGTAATGTACAAGTACGTGACACCATTCATAATTTTTTATGTCTTTGCAATGTAAGTGTCTTTACAAAAATATGTAAGTAAATAAATATACTGTACAGATCTAAATATAGGCCAGACTTCAAATGCAACACTCAGTTCCAGTTCCTCACTACTTCTCTATATCCACCAAATGAAAAATGTTGAAGATCCCTGGTATAGGTGCGCTATAAAAAAAACAAGATCTTCCATCACTACTAAAGTCTCCTGCCCAGCACTACCGAAATCTTCAACCTTCACTTTGAGCTTGGCCGGCCTGAGGTTTCAGCCAAACCATTATACCCTTTAAAGCACCGACACGCTTTCATAAAGCTTTATCTGCAAATCACTCCAGTGATTAAACTGAGCCCCGTCCTTTGTTTAAGTAGTGCCTCCTCCATCAGCTCCACAAAGAGCTGTCTGTTGGAGACGTCCAACCTGGACCCTGGACAGGCAGCTGTGCTGGATAGAGCAGGCATGATAGATCATATCCGGGATTACTAAGTAAAATAAGCCCTGCTCCCCCTCTTTGCCCCCTTCCCCTCCCAAAAAAATGACAAAGCGCTGTGTGTATTTGATTTGGCTCTCACTTATTTAACTCCTATCAGATAGCCGTTGTGGTTAGATATGGAGAACAATCATGAGGTTTCTGCGGATTTACAGATTTGCCTTCATTCATTTTTCAAAATCCCACCCATAGACTAATCAAAAGCAAAAAATACACCTGACATGTTTTCATACTTGGATCTAAAATATTGGAGAAATTAAGTACATGGGATGTATTGGGTATTTGGTTTCATGTACTAAAAACGAAAAAGGTAAAGGCAATTTTTATGGATATTTCCTTCAGCCCTAAAACACAATACAATGTCATTCAAAATACAGGTAAACTCAGAACTCTAAAGAGCAACTGTGTGACCCTGACCTTGAGACAATTCTCACAAATTGGCTAGGGAGTTGGAGAGTGTTAACAGCTTCAGACTCTCAGCAACAGGTACAGGTGGTAAAGCTCTCAAACACAACTACCATCAGCTACCCACCCCCACAGGACCATAAATCAACAACACACATATCCAATTACAAATACACACTCGCAAACGTGCTTTTCTTTACTTTTCAAGCTGTTTTGCCTTGTCTTATGGATTAGTGTTTCCATAGATGTTGCTGGAAGACTTCGGCTCTGCCATGTCCTGTGTTGACATGCATGATACCACCGTCTCACAAAGAGGAAGGTCTGCTTTCTTTCATGTCTGACTATGACTGAACATGCTTCGTTTTAGTCTCCATGCTATGAAACACAGACTTAAACACATGCCCCTTCAGATTATTCAACAAAGTGGAGTTTACAATTCAAAATACAGCTGTAAAATTAATGTCACATGTCAAAACTTGGTCAGTCGAGTAACAGCTCAAACCCGGTCACATTACACAATAAATGAACACTGTACTACTAGACTATGGAATCATTTCAGTCTTTATTGCGTGTCCAAAAAACATTTGGACATTTTCTTTCTTCTTTTGCAAGCATGTCAAAACTCAAAAGCATTTTGTATATTTATGTATGTATGTATAATTAAATCAAGAAGGTTAACAAAGTTTAAGGGAATGGTTGCGGATGAATGTAAAACACATTTCTTTTGGTCTGTTCCAACATGAATGACAACATTCCAAAGACTGAAAATTTTATTTCATTAAATTACATATATATATATATATATATATATATATATATATACACTGACCGTCTCACAAAGAGGAAGGTCTGCTTTCTTTCATGTCTGACTATGACTGAACATGCTTCGTTTTAGTCTCCATGCTATGAAACACAGACTTAAACACATGCCCCTTCAGATTATTCAACAAAGTGGAGTTTACAATTCAAAATACAGCTGTAAAATTAATGTCACATGTCAAAACTTGGTCAGTCGAGTAACAGCTCAAACCCGGTCACATTACACAATAAATGAACACTGTACTACTAGACTATGGAATCATTTCAGTCTTTATTGCGTGTCCAAAAAACATTTGGACATTTTCTTTCTTCTTTTGCAAGCATGTCAAAACTCAAAAGCATTTTGTATATTTATGTATGTATGTATAATTAAATCAAGAAGGTTAACAAAGTTTAAGGGAATGGTTGCGGATGAATGTAAAACACATTTCTTTTGGTCTGTTCCAACATGAATGACAACATTCCAAAGACTGAAAATTTTATTTCATTAAATTACATATATATATATATATATATATATATATATATACACTGTTGTTCAAATGTTTTTTTTGGTCTAATTTTTTCCCAAATTACTTCTAACTGCATTACCAGCATGTGCATTTTTGAGTGTGTCTGCAATTTACATACATATGAAAGTCATATGAGTTCATGTATCTCACCTCATTGACTTGCTGTTTGTCCAGGTGAAAAATTTGACCGGAGCTGGTGGCAGCAATCTCCTCATAAGCTCTGTATCCCGGCTGAGACCGATCCCCACAGTCCCCCGTCAGCACAAACACAACCTGGATTCAAACGGGACGTTTATGAGTGTGAGTGTTTGGTTAGGGGGTTGGGTGTTGGGGTTAAATGTAAAACACTGGGGTATATTCCATGAAGAGCAGATGGATTTTTTTTTTGAATGGGTTGTGATATATTTAGATTTCTGGCTTACAACTTCACAACCTTAGAGCTCAATATTGAAAGAAACAGTTCACCAATGTCCATAATCCATTATAATGTTTCCTCCAGTGAAAAAGTCCATCCCCCTGCTACATCAAAATCCACCAACATATTTGTTTAGAACTGTTTTGGATTGTTTTTGCTTGCACCCATTCAGTACAGAGGATCCATTAGTGAGCAAGTGACATACTGCTAAATTTCTCAAAATCTGTTGTGATGAAGAAACAAACTTATCTACACCTTGAATGTCCTAAGGGTGAGTGAATTTCCAGCACATTTTTATTATTGGGTGAGCTATTCCCTTAAAGACAAAGTGTGATTTCTGTATCACCAGCAGCACTGAACAGAATTGCAAAAAGACTTCAAAGATCTGTCGTTACCTGAGACTGTCGGAGCTGTACAAGCTGAAGAACATCTCTTTTCAAGCGATAATCTTTGGCTCGGGCATCTGTGAAAACATAGATGAAGGATCCAGGTAGAGAGACCTCCAGAGCCTTCTTGATGGCCCCAATGCTCATCTCTGGACAATCCCCTCCACCCTGAGAGAGAACAACAAGGCCTTCATCATTGACACGGACATTTATGCACTAACCAGAGCACAAGAAAGCGCATATTGTATTGGCTCGGGGTACAAGTTCCAGTACTTACTCTAGAGCCCAAAGGTACAATAAGAACAGAGTGCTAATAAAACTGTAGCGCTGAAGACAGATCAAATGCTGAAACGAGCCAAGATACTCAGCAGAAGCCACAGAGAGCAAATAAGAACACAAAGTACAGAATATGATTTGATGATGATTTATGAAGAAAGAGGCCAATGACTGCTGTGTCTTTTGATGCTAAAGAATATAAGTATAAACACCTGAGCAAAGCTACCAAGAGAGGTGTGGAGGTTAAATATGTGTGGAAGTGATAGAGGTGGTGGTGCAGGCAGAACAACGAGTCCTATAGTAATCTAGTGTGGCATAATAAAGCAAGGACATCATTTTAACCAGTCAATGCCATTTTAGAGAGTAAGAAATTATGCTTGGAGCAACAATTTTAATTATATAAATCTATCATCTCATATAGAACTTTAAGTGAGTGTTACATGATGTGAATTTAATATTTTATTTAATTTTATTTAATTTTACTGTATATTTAATATAAAATTTATATTTTTCCACCTTGTTTATTAAAATTATGTGATGTCTAATTATAATTGTAGCAATGATTTTTTTTAAGTGACTAAAATAAATATTTCCATTAAAATAAATATTGTTTTAATATTGGTGAATCTGTATAAAATAGTGTGATTTCATTTGATTTGATTTCGAAACATTTCTGTCACACGCTTGAGGAATTCGGCCAATCACAACGCACAAGACAAGAGGTTGATCAAGCAGTGGAAAGCAGCACTGAACTGACAGTGGATAGGCTGATTTTGTTCATTGCTTATGTAATTAATTGTACGGACCAAGTCAGACACAAAACAGAGAAAATTAAAATAATTGTGAAGGAAGCTGAACATTTTTTGGGTATACACAACATGTCTTGGGAAAATATCAATAAAAGGCTGGAAGTTGATGGGAAGTCGGGAGATGCAGGTGATAAGACAACTTGAATATTGTACAATGGAATGCAAGAAGCTTGTTGGCAAATGGTCAAGAGTTTAAAGGTTTTATAAAAGGGTTTTAAAAGAAACCAGAAATCATATGCATTCAGGAGACCTGGCTTAAACCAGTTTTAGATTTTAGTATTAAAGGTTATGAAAGTATACGCAGGGATAGAGAGGAAGATATTGGGGGAGGGTGTATAATATTTGTAAAACAAGGAATACAATATAAGGTTTTAGGGAAAGGAAAGGAGTTGGAATTTATAATAATAGAAGTATTGGAAAAAAAAGGAAATGTTAAAATTATAAATTTTTATAATCCATGTAAAAGATTATCACTAGAGGTATTGGATGAATTGATTGTACATTTAGAAGGGAAAATCATATGTTGCGGAGATTTTAATGCTCATAGCACGTTATGGGACAATTGTAATGATGGGAATGGAATAGTGATTGAAGAATTAATGGAGATTAAGGATTTAGTATGTTTAAATGATGGAAGGGGAACAAGGATTAATGTAAGAACAGGAACAGAAGCAGCTATTGATCTTACACTTGTTTCAAATTCACTGGCGGGTATATGCTTATGGGAGGTGTTTAGAGAAACGACTATAGGGAGTGATCATTATCCTATAGTGATTGAAGTGAATTTAAGTATAGAAGAGTGTAATACAGGAGGAGTAGACAAATGTTTTTTTTAAATGCAGATTGGGAGGCATTTAGGAGTATTAGTGAACAATAAATGGAAAAAATTGAAGTTAAAGAAGAGGTTGATAAGGTTAATAATGATATTTGTAATGCTATATTGTTAGCAGCAAGTCAGACTATTCCAAAGAAGGGAGGTAAGAAAAAAAAGAAGATTGTACCATGGTGGACAAAAGAATGTGATCAAGCAATTAAATCTCGAAATAAAGCTTTTAAAATGTTAAAAAATAATCATAGTTTTCAGAATTTTATTGAATATAAAAGGAAGCAAGCAAATGTAAGGAGAATCATCAAATATACAAAAAAAGAGTTTTGGAAGAAGTTTTGTAACAGTGGGAAGGGAAACAGAAATAGGTCAAGTATGGAGAATGATAAAAAGAATGAATGGGATAAAAAGAGAGTTTGGGTATCCAATTTTAAGGGATGGAGATACAACAGCTGTAAAAGATGAAGAGAAAGCAGAAATGTTGGCGAAAAATTTTGTTAAAATACATAAATCAGACAATATTAGTGAGGAGGGAAAAAGAGGAAGGGAAAGGACGTTGGAGCAGTATAAAGAGATAATACAGAATGAGGAATACAATAATGATCAACTAAATATGACATTTACGAAGTCAGAGTTAAATCGAGCTCTTAGAAAAACCAGATTAAAAATGTAATTTGGGAGGAAGGAAAATTACCACAAAGTTGGAAGGAGGCGGTGATAGTTCCAATACGCAATACGTGGAAAGATTGTACAAATCCAGGAAATTATAGACCTATTGCTTTGACGTCTAATATTGGTAAGATAATGGAAAAAATGGTGAATGAAAGGTTAATGTATCATGTGGAAAATTGTACATTTTTATCCAAATATCAGAGTGGTTTTAGGAGAGGGAGAAATACAATGGATTCGGCTGTGTGTTTAGAACACGAAATAAGAAAAGCACAAATAAATAGAGAGAGTGTAGTGGCTGTAGTGGCTGACATAGAGAAAGCATACGACATGATGTGGAAAGAGGGGATGTTAATCAAATTATGTAAGTTATGTAAGTTAGGTCAAATGTATAGATGGATCAAGGATTTTTTATCAGGAAGAGCAATAAAAGTGAGAATAGGAAATAGTTATTCAGAAAAGTTTGTGATCGAAAATGGAACTCCACAAGGAAGTATAGTGAGCCCTTTATTGTTTTCCATAATGATAAATGATGTATTTGAAGATCTGGATAATGGGTTGGGGTTTTCGCTCTTTGCTGATGATGGGGCAATCTGGAAAAGGGGAAGGAATATTGACTTTATTGTTAAAAAATTACAGGTGGCTATTGCAATAGTTGAAGAATGGTCATATAAATGGGGTTTTAAATTCTCAGTTGACAAAACAAAGATAATGTTTTTTACAAGGAAAAAAATTGGAAGTGAGGTAAAACTAAAATTATATAATCAAGAACTGAAAAGAGTGAAACGTTAAGTTTTTAGGGATATGGTTTGATGAAAGAGTTACATGGGCGGTGCATATTCAGAATATAGTGAACAAATGTAAGAAAATAATAAATACAATGAGGTGTTTAGTTGGAAGTGAATGGGGGGCAGATAGGATGGCATTAAAGGCCATGTATAGTGGATTGGTTAGATCTGTGTTAGATTATGGTTGTGTGGTGTATGGATCAGCAGCAGAAACATCTCTTAGAAAGTTAGATAATATACAGCATCAGGTATTGAGATTATGTACAGGAGCTATAAAAACTACACCAATTACAGCACTACAGGTTGAAATGGGGGAAATGTCATTAGAAATGAGAAGGGTACAGTTATCAGTGAATTATTGGGTTAAGGCCATAGTCAAGAGCATCCAACACTAGGTACTTTAAAGCCCTGTTGGGAAAAAGAGAGGAGGAAAATTAAAAGTTTTGG